TTAAAAAAATAGATAATATGAACACAATTGTGTGCAGATTATTTAAATTTGTCTTGATTTATTACTTTTTGTTTTCAATCATTTGCCTCATTAGTGTTTGTTTTCAGAAGTTATCACATTGGAGAGAAAGGTCTACCGATACCTATCTTTCAGGTAGGTAGCAGAGGATCTACATAAAACGCTAGCTCTTACGTTTACATGTTTACATCTTGCAAAAGACTAATAAGTCCGTCACTGCAAGGTTTCATTATCAGCCCCTTTTAACGTTGGAATTTCAACGGGGTTGGGTCTTTGTCACTACATTTAATGATGATTTATACCTTCGTTGTCCCGCTGCTAACGTAATACAGTCACAAATGGATCTGTGGTGTAGTCAAGTCGTGGATCCGCGGGTGGCATAATGGCGTGACCACCCTTTCAGGAAATTGCCAAAAATGTCTAGCCAAGTGTGAAATTAGAATGGCAACATCTGTTTAATCTTCCAGGTGACCCTCAGCGCAAAAAAAAAAACCCTCCCCCGCGGAACGAAGGTCTTTTATCGGCTCTTCAGAGCCAAAACATCATCGATTTCCTCATTTGGGTAACAACTCTATGAGGGTTCACAAAATTGCTGCTCAGTCTAATAAAAAAAAAAGAGTGTAAAGCTTGGTTCTGGAGTGACTTTGGCGAAGGAAAATAGAGAAAAACAGGATTATCATCGATTTCCTCATTTGGGTAACAACCCTATGAGGGTTCACAAAATTGCTGTTCAGTCTAATAAAAAAAAAATGTAAAGCTTGGTTGTGGAGTGACTTTGGCGAAGGAAAATAGAGAAAAACAGGATTGTTTGTGGTGTTCAACTGAACTTCAGTTCTGAAGATTCCTTGCTGTTGCTCAGAATGAAAAATTTTGTCATAGAACATAAGGACTACTTCGATGTACCTCTCAGGGCAGCCAATTCTTTACAGAATTTTTCACAAGTCTGACCTGTCAAATGTCATTGTCAGGTCAATTATACGTCTCTGCACTGTTCTCTACACTTTCCAGGATATGTCGTACTAACCTAAATCTACGTTGTGCTTACGGAGGCGACTATTATGCACAGGGGGAAGGTTATTTCCAAATTATGGAGAGAAAGCAAGTCGTTCCCGCAACGGATTTTTCCACCTTATGTGTATAGGCATATGGATACAAGAAAGAGCATCCGAAAGTCACACGAGACAGATTTCTCATCCCATTCCAGATCCGTTTGATGAAAGCATGTATATTTTTGTTAACCTGTGTTGTACATCTGGCGTAGAAGTTTTACCATTTTCCATCGCAAAGATGGGTGTGATGGCGTCATCAAGTGTCAGTGCCCATCTGGATGTGGATGAAGAAAACGAGGATGCTTTCTCTACTTCAACATTGCTTTGTTGTTGTTATTGGTGTTTGACAGGATCTGATTTTTTTTGCTTTTTGTATCCACCAGTTGTCCAGTTGTTTTTCATTTCACAAACACGATGCTGAGCCTCAGAGAATCTCATATCTGAAATAGAATTGGTCTTGTATTCCGGGCGGACATCGGTGGGGTAAGGGTTTGCACGACCCGAACATCAAGATGAGAAGTTAAAAGTATGAGAAAGAAAACAAAACCGTATTCGACTTTTAAGAGGAAAATGCGCCATGAAGACCTCGGGTAATGTTGCGGCGACTCCCACCACTGAATGGCTCCTCTGCCGATCTTACATCATGGGTTTTTTCATGAGAGACAACCAAGCCATAGTAACATCTTTCGAAATACTCAATCCCGAAGTGTTAATCTTGGTCCAAGAAGGAGCCCAATTGTTTTTATCTAAAAAAAAACCACTTTCTTGGGTCTGAAGTGTTGAGTCCGATGGTGACTTTGCTTGTGCGACAAGGGTTATTACCCCAATCCTCTCCCGGCTCGTGCCGCCATTTCCCCGGCCCGATTATCCTAGTGGTGTAAATGTAAAGTTATTTTAGAATGTTTTATACGCAAAGGCATAGTAGTGGCTTCATGGAATTAATCCGAAGAAGATAACAAGACTAAGCCTCGCAACCAATTGTATTGTTAGCCTATGGGAAAAAATTAGTGTTAAATATTTTGTATATTCATCATCATATCATCAAGCCAAAGGGCTTAAATAAAAAAAAAATATTTGGTTGACAGTAACCGCTAGTAACGAAATGCAATTGTATACTATGTAATTTAGAAATAATCTCTTATTTATTTATAGAACAATATGTAGGCTTATATAATATTGAAATCTTGACCCAGAGGTAATGGGTCATAGTACATTATGTTATTATTTGTTTTATTTGTTATAAAATGGCTGCAACTTTTACATTCATTTTCTATGAAAAAACGCTTACGAATATAGGTAATATATTTTTTAGTACTATACAGTAAGCTAGCTCATCATAAGATTCCTCTGCTTCTAAGAAACACAAACAGTGCACTTCACGGCAATAAAAATACTTCAACCATACACGTACTATACACTTGAAGTAAAATCGAGAAGTAAGCTTAACATACGGTTCGGTGACAAAAAATACAAATACATCACTAATACAAACAAGATATGGCATAATAAACCTGGTCATGTTTCTCTGAAAGGCAGTTCAGCATACAACGCTTGAAAACTCCTCAAGCGATCATCAGGTGTCCTTTACTAAATCTTGAAAATCGTCTCAGACCTTTTGCAATGGGTTCAAACTACGGTAGTTTGTGAATGTAAGCTGCTTATCTATCTTATAACAATGATGATAATGATGATAATAACGACGACGACAACGATGACGATAATAATGAATGATGATGATAAAAACGACGACGATGATGACGATGCTGCAGGTGATGATGATGATGATGATAATGATGATGGTGGTGATGATGATGATGATGATAATGATGATGATGATGAAGATGATGATGATGACAGAAGATGCCATTTCTGGAACTGGTTAAACTTAACACATTTAATTCTATTTTGTTGTACATAGGTAATTGTATATGTTGCCTTGCCAAAAGAAATTAAAAGAGAGAGATAAGGCAGCGCATACCATAACGGTCAATATCGCGTAGCAACGGGCAATATATTTGAGTTGTTGGAGTTGAGTTAAATAGCTTTGTTGTTAAGAAGATCATGGGTTCAAGTACTATCAGTGTTGCAGGATTTTTTTTTTCTCACGACCAAAAAAACTCCACTACCTAAACCTAAGAATGTGTGTAAAGCATCCTGTTTGTATGTTTGTCTTGTGAAAAGGATCACCTACAAGTAGGAAAGTGACATATTCGTTGTTGACAATCCTTAGTGCAAGTGTTGCGTACCTAAATAAATTAATAAATAAAATAGAGGCAGGAATGGGATAGGAAAATTACGCTAAAGGTGGAATAATGACGTCACGACTGACGAATAATGCATGTTCTGTTAAAATGTGTACATCAACAAGGTGACAACTCATTGAAAGTGACAATCTATTAAAACCAATGACCTTGCTATGTTTCAAATTCATTATTTAGATTGAAACAAAGTAATCCAAAGTGTCAAGAATTTCGAACAAACGGAAGATTCATTTTCTGAATGTGCTAGATTCCAGCAACGAACTAGATTTTTTTGCAAATAATTATTGTGTATTGGAAGAATACCGATGATGATTGCATACGATATTCAACATCTTGCATGCCTTGCTAAAAAATCGCAGGCCTACTACGATATCCACAGTGGTATATACGTGACCAATCAGCCATATAAATGTATTCTAGACAGAAAACAACACCATCCATAAAAGACGTACATGAGCAGGAGCTTATACAGACAATATATTGTATTAACTGTGTATATTTATTGCTTCTATATCCTTTAAGCAGTTTCAATCCAATTTCATTGTACACATGAAGAGACTACTTCATCTTATCTCTTGCCTATCTTAAGTTACATTGTTGCAATGCTCAACAAATAAATAATATTGTGTTTAGTAAATTTTCACTAAAATACCGAGAGCAGTAAAAAATTGTAAGAAGTAAAACAAAATGATCAATACATAATAATGTCGAACAATGTACAGTTCAAGAACCAAATGGTCCACTGATTATATTTAGATAATATAATAGCATGCTCGCCTTGATAACGAGAGGATGCAGTTTTGAATCCCGCCAGGGACACTTTTTCATACATCTGAATAAAGGAACTTTCATTGAATATAAGAAAATAATAAATATATAAATATTTAATTTACCACAAATTTTTCCCACAACTTAAAATTTTAAGAAAAACGTGTTATTACAACATACTGGTTAAAATACAGTATTATGGTGTAAAGTAAAATTATGAACATCCAAATGCCAGTCTGTACACTTGGGTATGAACAATGCTGTAGCTAGCTTTCTACTGGGTCCACAAAGAATGGGTCCACATTTTTTAAAATTGGGTCCAAATTATGCAATTTAACTCATACAATGGGCCCAATTTTTGAAAAAAATGGGTCGAGATATCTCATATTTAGAATAAAATGTGCAAATTTTAAGAACATGGGTCCAGATTTGTTCATACCTTTGTGTAAAATTGGTCCACCCTGATATTGTCCCGCACTGTTTGAAAATCCTGGCTGCGCAACTGGGTATGAACAATATGCTGTATGTTACACTTATGTTGAGTTGTTAATTCCAAACAGGGCTCAGTAAGAAAAAGTATTGAATGGCAAAAATACGAGTGAGTGGATCATGGCAAGAATTGCTGTTTTTTTTTCCTGAATTTTCTTCATAAACATTGTTAACCAGCAGATAAAGTACAACTGTTGCCTTTCATCATTGAAAAATACATCCTAGTAACCTTTTCTAAAAAAAGTCCTAAATCATTCACTTTGACAGTGTCACAATTTGATGGTCACAAGTTAAAAATAACTGGCTAGGTTTTCAATTCTTTAACTCTAGATCACTTCTTACAGAACAAAAAATACAGGTTACCGCATATGCTCTTGTCGGACTATAAATCAATGTAGTAAACAAAAAGCACATGTGGTCAAACAAATAATTTATTAGAAATATTACACATGTGTAGGCAGCACATAGAGAGATACATCTATCCATTAGATACAATGTCATTAATAACAGTGATCAGACATTCTGACTCCAAAGAAGTAGAAATTTTATCAAGACGTTACAGCAAGCGCAGGATTGTTTTCAAATGGGCATTGTGACAGACTCCATTTTCTAATGATAAGTTCACGTAATACAAAAGGTTAACAGCTTGCAATAAAATTTAAAAAGAACATAGCAGGTTGTAAAAATACAACTTAATTGACAATAAAATATGAGCAAATTATTTCACATTTACAATCACACAGGTAGTGGTTTGGAATTTAAATGTCAACAGTAAGGCAAATTAGGACACATGCAGTGCCATAAAACATAGAGGGCAGTACATGGCAATATCATTCACAAACATACCTTATAATATGATAACAGCTGTACCAGCATGAACAAAGTAGAGATATATGAAAATCAGATAATTTTTTTTTTTCAAAATAAACTTTGTATTAGATCTTCATATTGGTGATTACATACAAATCCAATCCATGACTTATTGGCCTTTAGCTAACAATTTTAGCTATCATTATGACTGTTCTGATGTGATTTCATCATCACTACTGCTTGTTGTGTCGTCTGTGATTGCTAATCTTTGATGTACATAGTGCTTAGTACCACCCTCTGCATATTGCTGTACACAGTCTCCAGATCCTTGCAATATCCATTTAGTAGTAAGAAGGCCTTCAACGCCAACAGGACCACGTGAATGTATGCGTGTGGTACTAATGCCAACCTCAGCACCTTTAAAAAATTCAATAAAAAAGACATTAATGGATGAACGAAATTAATTCATCTATGGAAGCTAATTATTTACACCACAGATATAGATATGTAATATAAACTTGATATTTCACCATTTCCACTTATACTTGCAATAATCATATTCCATTTGTATAATGTAGTGCGAGCGACAATGAAGACGGTAAAATCATATTGTATTGTATAAAAATTAATTAAACATCAACATTTTATGTGATAGTACTTTAACATACAGCAAGTGTTAGTTCCAGTGTTGATCAATAAAAATCAGAATCAGAAGAAAATACAGTTGTCATCTTGGAAATTACAGTGGAATACAATAACTCTAAACATTCACAACATCAGAAAACATGAAAGGCTATATAGAATACAATCAAATAGATCTTTGTCCTATTGCCTACTATAATGAGTTTCTAGCACATGTATAGATTAAAGGTAAAAATGAGATTAGAAATCCAGACATTCTACACTTTGAGGAAGACGGCATCCAGATCTTAAATAATGATATTCCGAGTTAAGTGTGTCGTCGGTGTCATTTACGATGGCGGTTTTTTTTTAAATAAATTTTTTTTATTTTATGATGTAAACCATTCCACCAAATAATTTTCAGGCCTTATCAATAATAACTTGTAACTTTTGTAGATCATTTTCCTTTATTCAACTATATGAAACCACAAAAACTATATAATATTTCACATTGAATTACAGTAAGTATAATAAAAAGATAAGTTTATATACTTTGTCAGCAAAAATAATTATATTTTGGTATTAAAGGAAGCTCACCTAAGAATTGAAAAAAAACATTGAAACTTACCAAGTCCAAAGCGATAACCATCAGCAAATCTTGTACTGCAATTATGGAAAACACTTGCACTATCTACTGCCTTCAGAAAATAATCCGCAACCTCCTCTGCAAAACACAAAGGTTAATATTTACTGGAGTAAATACAATGATTGCAAAACAAATAAAATCATTAATATAATGCTATCAATATTAATAACTATAACAAGCAATTAAAAATATCATCAGTCAAGCAGTTAATACTTAACAAAAATGTAAACACAAATATCTTTAAAAGTATAGGTTTTAGTGAAATATATGGTATTTATTCAGAACTAAATATTTAAAGATGTAAGACATGGCAGCCAAAAGGCTGAATTGTGAAATATGTTTACATCAAAAATAAACTAACAATAACATTTTAGAAACTTACAAAACAACTAAAAAATTACACTATCATGACTATAAGAAAAATACATCACATAATTTGAATTACACAACCTATAAATAGGCTGTGCTTCATATTAATTATCAATTGTTTATAATGTAGTCATTTGCTACATACTTCTACAATTATATGACATTTGCTTTACTGTATAACAGTGCTTCGTTCATTCTGATTTTGTGTACTTGCCTTAAAGTTTACTTTGCCTAACTCAAATAAGTTCCAAGTCAATCTTATTATATTTACATGCCAAATTGTTATGTTTTCCATTAATTAATGATCTACAAGTAAAATTTTATCTAAGTTGAACACCTTTCAATGCCATATTGGATTCAACTTAGGCAAGTTCAACTGGATTTCTCATACAAGGACCTCGAAAGTCCAGTTCAGGACATTTTATAGCAGTACTTGCATCTTGTTGCTTGGTTGTTATTGAGGGGTTTTTTTCCCTTTTTACTGGCACAATTCGAAGAATTTTGTAAGAAATATACACTTTGATATAAATTGAAAAAAAGATATTATGAATGGCCTGATCGTGAAGTTATGATTGCAATGTTGTGATGCAAATAAATCAAATAAAATTGTTATTACATCTTACAAATTTCTACACTAAATTATACAGTATTATACCATTTCTTAAACAATCGATTGGGAACTTTTTCGTTGATATGCTATGCCCGATACAGTGTTTACACCATTGCTTTAAATACAGGAACAAATGATGTTATTAATCAAGCATAGCCTGATAATAATAACTTATGTGTTTATATTATTATGGTTTCAGTCATTTACCCATAACTAACAACTTCATCCAACAAATTGTAACAGTAGAAAACACATTAGTATACCATAGCATTCTATAATACATCATAACAAAATAACAATAAATTTAACAAAGTAGTTTGCCTGGATATGATTATACTAAAAGCCAAAAAAAGTCTGCTACACACCACAGTATTATACAAATCGATCAGAAACTAATCTGAAAAATAAAGATGTATGAACCATTGTAAACAACCTTGAACCAGCATCCTCATTGCGGAATTTAATTTTGAGAATCATGAAGATATTTATTTATAGCTGTATTTATATCTTTTTACTAAAACTACAGTATGCTAAAAACAAAGTGGCTGATTAAACCTGGAATTATAAACTCCTAACATAGAAAATTGTAAACATGTAGTTGCCAGTCTAATATAGTTAGGTACAGTAAGATAGCTCAGCTTTACCAGGCCTGTATAGTGTTGCAAATATTAATAGCTGTCAATGTTAAGCCCACATATAATACATTAACATGCTTTGATGAGGATGAATGTAAAATACACTACAATTCAATGAGAATTTATCTGGTATTGCATCTTCTGGAACATTAACACAGCAAGTAGTCAACAAGATACACTCAGATGAAGTTCAATTGTGGTCATAGGTAAAAATGTTTCATGTATCTTCTTAATAATTACTAATGCTGATGTCACTTGAATTGAACTCACTAAAAGCAATCACTATTTTGAAGTCATAGCTATGTTCACACAAGTAACAAATTGTTGTTGAAGCCATGCTTAGTGGCGACAGTACTGTATGTCAACCAAGATTGTCTGGGAGCAGAAGATGTAACACTATGTAATTAAGTGTTCACACTCAAACAATTTTGTATAAATCATTTGCTGCTACTAAAGCAAGGCTTTAGCAGCGATTCATTAAACCCACTTAGAGTTTGCCATATAAAAAACACATTAAAAATGATGCTAATAATGTAGTGCCGTAGCTTCATGTTTGTGAAGGCTGGCTTATCTTCTCTCAAGTTTGTACTATAATAAGTAGGTTTGCAGTACACAACATAGATAGTTCTGTTGTGCTGTTGATAATGTCAACATTTCAAATAGATTGCTGTAATCATCTTTTAGAATTTTCCTGAAAACGACTAGAGCAATTTATTCAGAATGTCGAGACTACTGTACCTATGTGGTGTACCACAAACATATATATTACCAGTGTTCCCAATGCAAACTTTTAAACAATATTTCATTCATTATGCATGTGCAGATACATTAGTAACTTGCACTGTGCCACTTTCATCTAACATCCAAGAGAGTGTTGATATGAACTGTTGTTCTCTGTATTCTAATCAGGCTTATTTTAAAGCCCACTCAGTTGCTTTGCAGTGTTATTAGACCCAACGATAACGGTACTAAATAAATGTCTATGGTTCGGGTAGACTGTATTTGGTATGCATTTTTAAACCTACTTAAATTTAGCCTTCAAATTCAAGCTTAATAATGCATTCGTACCAAACAGAGTTAACAACCATCTAAAGGTAACAGACCATTAATACATAATTAACAACACGGTTCAGGTCGGCTGTATTTGGTATGAATTTTTGAAAACATTGGTGTTAGTCTTTAAACACTTTTGTTTACAAAAAATTGTTTCCATAAAAACATCTATAGGTGTAGATGTAAATCATGATCTAAACACTTCATTTTCGACATTAAGTAAACAACTGAACCAGAAAACATACAACATGCAACCTTACTTCTTTTAGTGGTCATGAATAAATGTTCTCTTTTATCGGAACAAATCACTATGTTAACAGAGCAAGCGAGCATACCCGCTAGTAGGTGCATCTCTACACTTGTTTTTACAGCGCATAGAGACTTTTGTGTTTTGCACTTTATAAATCTAAAACCATTAAACATTAGGTGATAATTTTTATACTGGCTTTCACCTGCCTACACATATAGCCATTTTTTATTTGTTAACTTTTCCCCCTTTTCATAACAAAAGGTGTTGTCTGCTGCTCTATTGCTCTGGGTTACATACCATGAGCACCTAGTGAATGCAACCTACTCTTGTTACCCCACATACAATGGCGGCTCTAGGATATATTTTCTAGGGGGGGGGGGGAGGGCTGAGCTGTCCCAAATGAAAATTTTAAAGAATAGGAACCTCTGGATGGCCAAAAATGACACTCGCTGATTGTGACAGACATGTGTTGGCTTGGCGTGGGCCTATTTTTATATATTTTTTAGTCCAACCACCCGACGAGCTATGTCCAATGGGGGGACTTGACCTGTTGTTCCCCCCGCTGGCGCCGCCACTGCCCACATAATGTAGTAACTCACAACATGAATTTTACATATATAATACCCTTGTCATTTTGAGCTTGCTGTCTTTTCCTAGAGCATTATTGGATTTGAGGATGGGATCTTTTCACTAACAGTGCAAAAAACAGTCAAACAAAACCAAAATGCAATGCATGCCATTCTGTGTTTCAGAACTGACTTAAAAGAACTAAATTTTTCTTGCTATATATCAGCCAAATGTGAATGACCTAGACAAAAGTTTTTGACAATTTTCTACATGCTGAATTTTGCGAGATCAATATTGATCTAAAACAACCACCGATTTTTGACATGGACTGCTTATTCAGAGACAATTTTTAGAGAAACTAACACTTACAGGGACGTTTCATATAAATTAGAGAAGATCCAACTGAGACAATTTTTTCAAAACTTACCCTGGCGGATTTTCGTTATGATACATATAGATCCATTTTTCTTGAATAATATTTTTACCAATTCCATGTGGTAATAGTAATGGCGACAGGGATATACTTATAAAGCACATAATACTGTAATCATCTCTATGCGCCAAAAACCATAACCCAAGTGCAAGGTAATAGGCAGAAGATAAAACAAAAAATAATGGAATAAAGATCATTGTATGTGAAAAATGACGTCACCACCTCCATCAATAATTTTAGTTTAGAAAAAAGTTAGTTACAAGATGTGGTGGCAAACAGTGTAAGGTCTCAAAGGGTCACACATTCCCTCTGCCCTGGTGCAACCCCAGACCCCAACCTATGGTATGTGGGGTAACAAAAGAGTAGGTTTCACATTTCACATTCACTAGGTGCACATGTGACCCAGAGCGATAGAGCAGTGAACAAAACCTTTTATTATGAAATTACTTTAGGTTTTTGCTCTTGTTGAGCATAAGGAGCAGGAGACACCGGGTTGCTCAAGCACTCCACTTCTTGGATATGCCACTACATAAATGATCACCAATTTGACTCTACTTCAAAAAATACCTTAACAGTATATATCACCCATGAGGTCTAATGGTACGACAATCGCGACAGTTCATTTCCTTTTTCAAACACCTAATAAGGAACTTTTTCATTGATAGGCTAAGCATGGTATAATCTTTAGGGTTTTTTTCAGTTTTTATATATATTAACCATGTTGTTGTTTTTCTTTTGATCGCTGGTCTGTAGTTTATGTATAGTTTGTTTATAAATCATGATCTGTAATAAGTTAGCATCACTCCCTCTAGGTGGCCATACATAGATACAGTACTCCACATAAGGCTATATGCTGGGCTTCAGTAGCTCCCACCTTAGGCCAGTGGTGGTGCCAGAAAGGGGTCAAGGAGGGCAATTATCCTCCCACCCTCCATCAGACAGGCCAAGGTAGCAATGTTGCACCCAAGTTTTAAGGTAGGTGTAACACGTGGAATTATTAAGTAAAATATGTTATTTCCTTTGAATCACTAATAACAATTGCACCACATACTGAAGCACTAGGCACTTTACTATTTTTAATTTTTATTATCATATTTCAGGGCTGCAGTATATAGCAACATTGTTCCTCCTTATTATTAGCTTTGCCCACTTCCTTGTTGT